TAGCCATGGAAAGTGGTTTTTTTGGTGTGCAAAGTATAAAGAAAACTACAGATGCAACAAGGGTGGAAAATTTTGGTGTTGAACCATAATTAAAGCTGGGTATTTCCAGAATTTGAACCCGGGACCTCTCGCACCCAAAGCAAGAATCATACTACTTGCCATGGTGCTTGGGTTTTGTTTGGTGTGCAATGTGGAACCAAAACCACAGATGTAACAGGTGTGGAAAATTTAACCATAGTTAAAGCTGGGCTCGTCCGTGATTTGAACCCGAGACCTCTCGCACCCGAAGCAAGAAGCCATAACCCTTGACAAACGAGCCATGGTGTCTGTGTTTTATTTGGTGTGCCAAATGGAAACAAAACTACAGATGCAACAATGTTGGAAAATTTAGTTGTTGAACCATTATGAAAGCTGGGCTCGTCCGGGATTTGAACCCGGGTCCTCTCGCACCCAAAGCGAGAATCATACCCCTAGACCAACGCGCCATGGAATGTTTTTATTTGGTGTGCAAAGTGGAAACAAAACTACAGATGCAACAAGAGGAAAATTATTTGTGAACCATGGGAAAGCTGGGCTCATCAGGGATTTGAACCCGGACCTCTCGCACCCAAGCAAGAATCATACCCTAGACCAGCGTGCCATGGAACACGGGTAATTTGTGTGCAAAGTGGAAACAAAACTACAGATGCAACAAGGTTGGAAAATTTAGTTGTTGAACCATAATTAAAGCTGGGCTCAACAAGGATTTGAACCTCGGACCTCTCGCACCCGAAACAAGAGTCATACCCCTAGACCAACGAGCCATGGAACCTGGGTTTTATTTGGTGTGCAAAGTGGAAACAAAACTACAGATGCAACAAGGGTGGAAAATGTATTTGTTGAACCATGAGCAAAGCTGGGCTCATCCGGGATTTGAACCCGGGACCTCTCGCACCCAAAGCGAGAATCATACCCCTAGACCACCAGCCATGAAACCTGAGTTTTATTTGGTGTGCAAAGTGGAAACAAAACTACAGATGCAACAAGGGTTGTAAATCTATTTGTTGACCCATGAGGAAAGCTGCGCTCATCCGGGATTTGAACCCGGGACCTCTCGCACCCAAAGCGAGAATCATACCCCTAGACCAACAAGCCATGGAACCTGGGTTTTATTTGGTGTGCAAAGTGGAAACAAAACTACAGATGCAACAAGGATGGAAAATGTATTTGATGAACCATGAGGAAAGCTGGGCTCATCCGGGATTTGAACCCAGGACCTCTCGCACCCTAAGCAAGAATCATACACCTAGACCAACGAGCCATGGTGTATGAGTTTTAGTTGGTGTGCAAAGTGGAAAGAAAACATGGTGTATGGGTTTTATTTGATGTGCCAAAGTGGAAACAAAACTACAGATGCAACAAGGTTGGAAAATTTAGTTGTTGAACCATAATTAAAGCTGGGCTCAACAAGGATTTGAACCCGGGACCTCTCGCACCTAAAGCGAGAATCATACCCCTAGACCAACGAGCCATGGAACATGTGTTTTCTTTTGGTGTGCAATGTGGAAACAAAACTACAGATGCAACAAGGTTGGAAAATATAGTTGTTGAACCATAATGTAAGCTGGGCTCGTCCGGGATTTGAACCCGGGACCTCTCGCACCCAAAGCGAGAATCATACCCCTAGACCAACGAGCCATGGAACCTGGTTTTATTTGGCGTGCAAAGTGGAACAAAACTACAATACAACAAGGGTGGAAAATGTATTTGTTGAACCATGAGGAAAGCTGGGCTCATCCGGAATTTGAACCCGGGACCTCTCGCACTCTAAGCAAGAATCATACCCCTAGACCAACGAGCCATGGAACCTGGGTTTTATTTGGTGTGCAAAGTGGAAACAAAACTACAAATGCAACAAGAGTGGAAAATTTAGTTGTTGAACCATAATGCAAGCTGGGCTCGTCCGGGAATTAAACCCGGGACCTCTCACACCCTAAGCAGAATCATACCCCTAGACCAACAAGCCATGGAACATAGTTCTTTTGGTGTGCAAGTGGAAACAAATCTACAGATGCAAAATGAAAAATTTAGGTGTTGAACCATAATTAAAGCTGGGCTCGTCCTGGATTTGAACCCACGACCTCTCGAACTGTAAGCGAGAATCGTACCCCTAGACCAACGAGCCATGTTGTATTGGTTTTATTTGCTGTGCAAAGTGCAAAAAAACTACAGATCCAACAAGGGTGGAAAATTTAGGTGTTGAACCATAATTAAAGCTGGGCTCGTCTAGGATTTGAACCTGGGACCTCTGCACCCAAAGCGAGAATCAAACCCCTAGACCAACGAGCCTAGGTGTATGTGTTTTTATTGTTGTGCAAAGTGGAAAGAAAACTACAAATGCAACAAGAGTGGAAAATTTAGTTGTTGAACCATAATGAAAGCTGGGCTCGTCCAGGATTTGAACCCGGGACCTCTCGCACCCAAAGCGAGAATCATACCCTAGACCAACGAGCCATGGAACATGGGTTTTCTTTTGGTGTGCAATGTGGAAACAAAACTACTGATGCAAAACACATGGAAAATATAGGTGTTGAACCAAAATTAAAGCTGGGCTCGTCCGGGATTTGAACCCGGGACCTCTTGCACCCAAAGCGAGAATCATACCCCTAGACCAACGATCCATGGAACCTGGGTTTTATTTGGTGTGCAAAGTGGAAACAAAACTACAGATGCAACAAGGGTGGAAAATGTATTTGTTGAACCATGAGGAAAGCTGGGCTCATCCGGGATTTGAACCCGGGACCTCTCGCACCCTAAGCAAGAATCATACCCTAGACCAACGAGCCATGGATGGTTTTATTTGGTGTGCAAAGTGGAAAGAAAACTACAGATGCAAAAAGAGTGGAAAATTTAGGTGTTAAACCATATTTAAAGATGGGCTCGCCCGGGATTTGAACCCAGGACTTGAACCCGGGACCTCTCGCACTCAAAGCGAGAATCATATCCCTAGACCAACGAGCCATGGTGTATGGGTTTTATTTGATGTGCCAATGTGGAAACAAAACTACAGATGCAACAAGGTTGGAAAATTTAGTTGTTGAACCATAATTAAAGCTGGGCTCGACCTGGATTTGAACCCGGGACCTCTCGCACCCAAAGCAAGAATCATACCCCTAGACCAACGAGCCATGGAACATGGTTTTCTTTTGGTGTGCAATGTGGAAACAAAACTACAGATGCAAAACAATGGAAAATTTAGTTGTTGAACCATAATGAAAGCTGGGCTCGTCCGGGATTTGAACCCGGGACCTCTCGCACCCAAAGCGAGAATCATACCCCTAGACCAACGAGCCATGGAACCTGGGTTTTATTTGGTGTGCAAAGTGGAAACAAAACTACAGATGCAACAAGGGTGGAAAATGTATTTGTTGAACCATGAGGAAAGCTGGGCTCATCCGGGATTTGAACCCGGGACCTCTCGCACCCTAAGCAAGAATCATACCCCTAGACCAACAAGCCATGGAACCTGGGTTTTATTTGGTGTGCAAAGTGGAAACAAAACTACAGATGCAAGCAAAATGAAACCATCATTTGGTTGAACCCGGGACCTCTCGCACCCAAAGCGAGAATCATACCCCTAGACCAACGAGCCATGGAACCTGGGTTTTATTTGGTGTGCAAAGTGGAAACAAAACTACAGATGCAACAAGGTTGGAAAATTTAGTTGTTGAACCATAATTAAAGCTGGGCTCGTCCAGGATTTGAACCCGGGACCTCTCGCACCCAAAGCGAGAATCATACCCCTAGACCAACGAGCCATGGTGTATGGGTTTTTATGTGCTGTGCAAAGTGGAAACAAAACTACAGATGCAACAAGAGTGGAAAATTTAGTTGTTGAACCATAATGAAAGCTGGGCTCGTCCGGGATTTGAACCTGGGACCTCTCGCACCCGAAACAAGAGTCATACCCCTAGACCAACGAGCCATGGAACCTGGGTTTTATTTGGTGTGCAAAGTGGAAACAAAACTACAGATGCAACAAGGGTGGAAAATGTATTTGTTGAACCATGAGAAAGCTGAACCCAGGACCTCTCGCACCCAAGCGAGAATCATACCCCTAGACCAACGAGCCATGGAATGAGTTTTATTTGGTGTGCAAAGTGGAAACAAAACTACAGATGCAACAAGCCATAATGAAAGCTGGGCTCGTCCGGGATTTGAACCCGGGACCTCTCGCACCCAAAGCGAGAATCATACCCCTAGACCAACGAGCCATGGAACCTGGGTTTTATTTGGTGTGCAAAGTGGAAACAAAACTACAGATGCAACAAGGGTGGAAAATTAGGTGTTGAACCATAAGAAAGCTGGGCTCATCCGGGATTTGAACCCGGGACCTCTCGCACCCAAAGCGAGAATCATACCCCTAGACCAACGAGCCATGGAACCTGGGTTTTATTTGGTGTGCAAAGTGGAAACAAAACTACAGATGCAACAAGGGTGGAAAATGTATTTGTTGAACCATGAGGAAAGCTGGGCTCATCCGGGATTTGAACCCGGGACCTCTCGCACCCAAGCAAGAATCATACCCCTAGACCAACGAGCCATGGAACCTGGGTTTTATTTGGTGTGCAAAGTGGAAACAAAACTACAGATGCAACAAGAGTGGAAAATTTAGTTGTTGAACCATAATGCAAGCTGGGCTCGTCCGGGAATTAAACCCGGGACCTCTCGCACCTAAGCGAGAATCATACCCCTAGACCAACAAGCCATGGAACATAGGAATTCTTTTGGTGTGCAATGTGGAAACAAATCTACAGATGCAACAAGGGTGAAAAATTTAGGTGTTGAACCATAATTAAAGCTGGGCTCGTCCTGGATTTGAACCCAGGACCTCTCGAACTGTAAGCAAGAATCCCCCTAGACCAACGAGCCATGATTGGTTTTATTTGCTGTGCAAAGTGCAAAAAAACTACAGATGCAACAAGGGTGGAAAATTTAGGTGTTGAACCATAATTAAAGCT